CATGGAGAAGGTGGGTTGGCTCTGTGGATAATAAAGGGAAAGGCGGGCAATGGCAGACAATTAAGAAATTTGAGTTTGCCACAGAGAAGCCAAACAGGCTAGGACTAATCAAATCCTAGGATAATTGGAGAAGATTCATTTTATCAGAAACATTATTGAGTAGTAAAATTTAAAAATTAACTGACAAAGAGACTGTATTTTTTCTTTGTCCTTGTATTCCTTTATTTACAGCCTACCCGCTTCCGCAATGAGGACTTGCTGCAGATTACAACAAAAGAGACAAACAATGGAAGTGTTCAGACAAGGGTAAAAGGTCGAAGGCCTGACTAGTTGAGCTGTTCATTTAGCACATGATTTTTCTCAGCTGAAAAATCTACTGCAAAACTGAACTAAGATCCAAAGGGTGCTTCATAAATATATAGGTTAATTCTAGCAATATATTTGAAGGGCTTAGATAGCAAACCTCTCCGTATTTCACTATAATGGCCCTGCTTAATTTGTCATCCTTCCCCCCACTCCCTCCTTTTAAGTATTGCTGAGACTTTAAGATACTCATTGTGAATTAATTTGGGATTTGGTATAATAACATTAATCATGCTAAAAGAATTCATTTGACAGTAATGTAGTATAATTAGTGATGTACCAAATCCATTGAGATCTACCAATAATTATAGAATCGTTATTTTAAAACCTTATATAGGCATTCCTTTTCTCTCTCTCTCTTCCTCTCATTCTATTTTGAATCTGTATCATGCAGAGGCAGAATCTCAGCTTTGACAATTTGCTTTTTGAGATACTGGGCAAAGGTATCAAGACTAGAAACCATTAAACTTTTGGCACTAAACTGAGGGGACTTTTGCTTAGAGCTGGGTGTAAGGAATTGCCTTAAAAGAAGAGCATTTAATCTGAGGACAGCTGGCCAAATTACTTGGAATTCTTGGCAGGTCTTGAGAACAATGAATAAGATGGATCAGCTCTAGAATGTAATAGCGGACGAAGCTTAGAGACTGCAATGGTGAAGTATGTGGTGGCTGACCAGGAGGCCCGCCATGTGAATCCCACCAGCTGGTCTGTAGTACAAAGCAGTGGCTGAGGCTTTTAGAAAGGTGACAGCCTCAGAAGGTGTTACCCCCTCGGATCTCTGTGCGTCAGAATGCGTTCAAGAGGATAGGTTAAAGGCTGGTGGAGTATGAGGCAAGAGTATCTGGAAACCCCTCTCTCTAGTCTGTTGGTGAATAGTTTAATCTTTGTTAAAAGCACTAATAATTTGGGCAGAAGGCAGAGAGGGAGATGGGTGCTGTGGCTGAAATTGTTTAAAATCGTCAATCGGATGAGATTTTTACCAACCGATGGGTTTAATTGTGTCATTTTACATGATAACAATTGAAATCCTTGGAGGCTGAAGGACTCCTCTAAGAGCCGGGGGTAACTTGGCCAGGTCTGGAATGCCAGTGCTTATGCTCGGTTTTAGCGTAGTCTTTTGATCACTTACTCTATCACTCACTTGCTTTTTTCAGTAGTTTATAATTGGCTCGTCTCAACAGGGCTCTTTAGAGAAAATTAAACCCCAAGTCCCAGCGTCCAAAGAACCCCTTGCCTATAGAATAGGCAATAGTTGGGCACCGTTTTTGAGAAAATAACAGTCACTAGTTTCTGCTGTCTGTGGCTCAAATGAGAAACTGTATGCTTAGAAAAGATTTGGCTAAATCAACATATTGAGCCATTTTTATTTTTGAGATTTTTCAAAATTCTTTTTTGAGTCATTTTTTAATTGTATGACTTATCATTCAAAGTTGACTTCTACCCAACTCTTCTCACCCAACATGAGGAAAGCGCATGGTGCTAACTGTAGCATGAAGCACACAGTAGGTGATCTGAGGAAACTTCCTTACAACACGAGTTTATTGTTGGAAGACCCACAAGCCTTTGACATGAAAAGATAGTTTCAGCCTATTAAAAATAATAATTTGGAGACTTGCTAGCTACCTACGCAAGAAGAAGGAGTTAGTGATGGCTTTGAGGTGTTTCAGCCTGGATGAGAAAATGAGGGTGCTGAGAAGAGACCGGGTGATTAGGAGCTATTTTTGTAGTAAGAATGAGGAGTTTGGCTTGAATATATTAGGAATGAAGTGACAACAGGATAGGCATATGTAAATATATAATAAGCTCTTAGAAACCAAAGCTCCTGGGTGCTATATTCCAGTCTGCAGTAAGAACAAATTATACTCTTCAAATAGTTGGATTGTGAGATCAGGATAAATTACCCAAATGAGCCTGAATATGATACTCCCATAACTGGCCTGTTCTCAGACCAAATTTATTAGGCTTTGTTTGCATGGCCTAAGAAGTTAAGTAGAAAGGCCAGTTTGAATGTTTTCGTGCCATAACTCAGCTGAATTTCCAAACGACAGCCGTTGAGGGTCGGTTTCGTTCATTTCCAGACTCTGAAAATGAAGAATGGAATCCAGTCCTCCTCCTCATTACTAACACCCTCAGTAGAGTACCTTGATCTAGTAATGTCACCCTTACTTCAAATCATACCTTTTCTTGCAGAACTATTCTTGTCTTCATGGTACCAAATCAAATATTTCACCCAGTGTCTATTATATTTAATTAGACTTTGTGGCTTGTGAGTGTACGCATGTGCACGCATGCGCATAGGCACCCTGGAAATGTCCATTGTGCTTAATTATCATTAATTTACCTTTACATATGAATAACAATTATTCTGAAAGCCTCAGTTCTGATGAGTCCCTTATTAAGTGTATATTCCTTTGTTCCTAAAAGGAGCATTAAAACAAATGCAAAAACAGCAGTTCGCTGTATTGGACCTACAGGAGGTGAGCCTCCAAACTGCATGGTTTTACCCAACAATGCAATGTCCTTACCAGGCTCCTTGTTTCTGATTAGGGATGTTTTGGGTTCAAAGCTCAGTGACCTCTGCTTATCAGGTCTGGGGTACTTGGGTATCTCTCTGTAACAGTTCTGATAGGAAATAAAATATATAACCAAAGCCTAGAAACATGTAAAAGAGCTCTGTCTGTAATCTTAAGTTCTGCAGGCCAGAGGAACCATTCACAACCTAAATCAGCACTAAGAAACCCTGTTAACAATGACAAAGGGGTATATTGTGATACAGATTTACCATTCTATATTAGTTTTTCTTAGCATACTAAATTTGTGAAATTTTTTTCAAAATATGTAGTGCTTCATATGATTTTGCAGACTTTCAAATGTGTGGCTATGAGACGCTGCTAGAAATGTTTGTATGTTTTCAATATGCACTCATGCCAGCTGGCAGAAAATGTGATGGGAATGTATTGGGCACTGAAGGGAATTTGACAAACCTGTACCAGAGAATAGGTTTGTTTCCTGTAGTATAGGTGTACCCCTGTGTTCCCAAGCCCAGACCCTTCTCTGTCCACGGTGGTTGATTTTTTTTTTTGCTGTATTGAACACAGACTGGAATGACCTCTAAGGGGTTCTAAATATATTTATGCAAGAACATTGTAAATCAATGTTAGCCTCCACTGAGAATGGAAAACTAACAACAGCAAAACTCATCTCACGTGGAAGTTGGAGGGTGAGGTGGGTTTATGAAACTGAGATTCTGTAGATAATGAAGAAGCGTCAACGCCATTGTGTTTCTTTGTATTGCTTGTAAGCCAGTTGTCAATTTCAACTCATGGTAGCCTGATAGGTGTCAAAGTAGAACTGTGCTCCACAGGGTTTCCAATAAAAGAAACATATAGCTAGTTTTTGCAGAAGTAGATTCCCAGGCCTTTCTTCTGCGGCACCCATGTGAACTTAAATCTACAAACATGTTAGTAGCTGAGTGTGTGACCCATTTGTACCACCCCAGGATTCCTCCCATAGTCATACAAAAGACTAATTAACCCCTTCTGAAAATATATTTAGTATTTGTTTGACCTAAGAGATTTCTCACATGCACCAAGCCCAGATACCTTATATACTCGGATATAAGTCGACCCGAATATCAGCCGGCGCACCTACTACAAAAACTGCGTGTAAAATGTGCTGAAAACCTCAGCTTATACATGAGTTTCTACAGTAACTAATACACAGACATGTAAAACAGGTGGAGCCAAGGAAATTATGCTAAGTTTTGGCATAGTGTGCCCCTGCCTACACCATGTATGTCTTGTGACATCTTCAGAAGTGTTTCTGCATCAATCAGCCTCGTTCTGTAGTCTGAAGACGTGACTCTTTATCATATGTGTATAAAAACATTATAAGCTATCATCAATAAGTCAGGGTTTGAATTTGGTAGCATCTGAAAATAAACAATGGAAACTGTGTTTGCTCTTGGGCACTTCGTGGCCCCTCCTGAGAACAGCGGGGTTTCTGGTAGCTGCTCTGTAATATAGGTGCGTCGCCGAGACTGTCCAGTGGCTCTGAGTCGGCCTTGACTGGACGGCAGTGGGATTTGGGTTTTTTTGGAACTATGTTTTCTTCGCAACAGCCACTTCTTGGGCGAAAGATCAGGTTACCTGCCCCAGTAAAGAGTCTTGGAAACACTTCATGGAGATGCTGTCAGTCGGAAGCAACTCCCTGCAGTCTGTTTGGATTGGGGGGGGTTGGTTTTCTTTGAAGTAAGAAATTGTTCTTTCTTCCTGCAATCTTGGCCATTTTAAAATTTAGACCGAATCGCTGAGGTTTCTCACCTGGTCATTGCAGTTTTTCACCTCCAAGTTTCTTTTTCAACAACAAGTATCATCCATTTCCGCTGTTCAAGGTTGTCTCGGCATTGGATGGAGTGCAGTCTCCTTCTTTGTCTGGCCACAGATTGCTGCTGCTGCAGCAGTTGCCCAGTGCAGGCACACCGAACGTGAGCCCTCCCGATCATCACAGACAGGACCACTGGCCTCCAAAGAGTTTTTATTGCTTGATTTTCAAGAGTAGATTTTCAGGCCTTTCCATCTAGTCCACCTTAGTCTAGAAGCTCCGCTGAAACATATTTCGCATCACAAAGCACTCACATCTCTACTGACAGCTGGCGATCATCGCGCATGGTGTGACGGGCTGACCATCACACCCGAGCCTTCATCCTGTACGGCAAGAATTGTACCAGCGAGCCATCCCTGCACCCCGTGACTTGTGGTTAATTTACCTCCTCATTCTTATTAGCTGCAATTAAAGGAATGTTTTCCTTCCTCTTCGTTTTTTGTTTCTTAGACCAAAGATAGTGGTTCTCATACCAAGTATAATAAATCATCCACATTTTGCATGAGTAATCCCTAGAAACTGGGTTGCTTTTAAATAGCCAACTGTGTATTCAAGAAGAGAGCAAACCTTGAAACAAAAAAACAAAATAAAACGATTTAAAAATATTAACTGGTTTCACTGAAGGGTATGTTATCAGAATTTTTCTAGACGTTTCATCATTACCCCAAACATTGTGTGTGAGTCTGGGTAGACTAGAGAAACAAATCCATGGACACTCATGTGTACAAGAGAGAGTTTTATATAAAGGGTAATTGTACATTAAAAAAGCATCCCTGCACCCGATCTGATCCCGCCACACAGAGACAAAGCACTGGGGGAGTGCAGTGGAACAGCAAGGGAATGGAGCAGCAAGGTCCCCAGGGAATGCTGAAGGT